CGCTAATTTCTCTGTCAGAGAAACTTTATTTTTTCTAATGTCAACCACTGAAGTTCATTTGAACTTGAATTTAAAGATCTCATTTGTGTTGTGCCAGTATTCATAAAGCTATACTAATATTAAATATAACTGGATAGTGTGAAGAATTCAGAAAGGTTATGAATCCTTTGTATACCCTATTGTTTGAAAATCCCTGTTCTTTGAAAACTGGAAGAGAATTCCTTGAGCTTATCCTTTTAGAGTTATTTTTTTAAAAGATTAACTATTACTTCATTATTTGTGTTATTTCAAGTTATTGTAGAAGAAAAAGACTAAATAGTGTGGCAGGAAAGGCAGACAGTGTTCAGTATCAATCCTAGCTATTACTGGCTGAGAGTTTTTAGACAAGGCCCAAACTTTTGAGAGAGTTCCTATTCTGTTGAACTGGTGTATTAAAACCTACCTAAAAGTAGAGAGATCTACTACTTAGGAATGGCAATCTGGTTGAAAGGTAGCCTAGATTTGTTTTGGAGCTATGTTTACATGACAAGCACAGTGTTTTTACCTATTTGTATGATACAGATAAGTAAAAAAAGAGCAAAATTTTCTAGAGGTGCTTTTATTCTCACTTTAAGATTGAATACATCAGTTGTATTAATCGAAGGGAAGGAGCAAAGCCTTTCAAACACACAGCACTGATCCTACCTTGAAGGTTAGAGATAATTGGAAGTATTTAGTACTTCTCTGAGAATTACCTCATAATTAAAGCAGTTATTATGATAAGCAGGGCCCAAGGCTCTGCAACTGGAGGAAATGATGTTTCAGTGTATCTAGTTTAAAAATCTAGTTTTTTTAAGAGTTATTTTAGGACTTCCCAGGTGGCTCAGTGGTTGAGAATCCGCCTGTAGAGCCCGTGCTCCGCAACAAGAGAAGCCACCGCAATGAGAAGCCCGTGCACCGCAAGGAAGAGTAGCCCCTGCTGGCCGCAACTAGAGAAAGCCCGCGGGCAGCAACGAAGACCCAACGCAGCCAAAAAAAAAATTAATAAATTTATATTAAAAAAAATTTATTTTATAGGAAGTTAAAAAAAATCTCTGGGTTTAGTTTTATCTTCTCCTTGAACTGTAGGACTTTGAAATAGATTATATCTAATGTATTCTTTGAAACCTTTCTAGTATGCAGTACAGCTATCTGCACATTGGATTTTTACCAGCCTGAACCTCAATTGCACTGGTAATAAAAACAAAGATCTTGATTGTTCTCTTGGGACTTCGATTTCCTGAGACACCAGGGGGAGGGGGAGGAGAAATGGGTTCAATCACCTGAAGACATATTAGCATACTCTAAACAGGAAAAACAAGATTCACCTTTTTAGAGGCTCATTTGAACATGTGATCATCAAGTTTGTATAATTTCTTTAGGTGTTTCATAACTTCTGAGGCCTAGAGAACATTTTCTCTTTTTTGAAAAGATAACCCTATATCTCTGTTCTAGAGTCCAGTTTTTCATTTTTTTTTAAAAAAAAGATCAGGCTTCTAACCTCAGTAATTCAGTAAAATTAAATCCACATATCCTGGTTAAGTCTATGGATTTAAAAGCAATAAAAATAGGCAGTATTATTGAGCTAAGGTCTTGGTAAGCATTTTACACATATTATCTCATGCAATCCTCACAATAATTGTATCAAATAGGTCTCAGTGGAGGCAGAGAGGCTGGCCAGTTAAGAGGTTGTAACAGTATTACAGAAGCATAAAGGCAGTTTGGAGTAGGGTGGTGGCAGTGGAGAAAGCAGGACTTTGTGACAGACACTTAGGAGGTACAATCAGTCTTGGTGAGTGTCTAGAACACTGCTTGGCAGATGCTTGAGATATTTGTAAATGAATGGATTATGGAGGGTGAGGGTTATATGGACTCCTAGGTTATATGGTGGTCCACTCACTAGGATTGGGAAAAGGGAAGAAAACCTGGTTAAAGGGGACTTCTCTGGTGGTGCAGTGGTTAAGAATGCGCCTGTCAATGCAGGGGACACGGGTTCAAGCCCTGGTCCGGGAAGATCCCACATGCTGCGAAGCAACTAAGCCTGCGAGCCACAACTATTGATCCCGCGTGCCACAACTACTGCAGCTCACATGCCTAGAGCCTGTGCTCCACAACAAAGAGAAGCCACCGCAATGAGAAGCCCGCACACTGCAACAAAGGGTAGCCCCCACTTGCGCGACTAGAGGAAGCCCACGCACAGCAACAAAGACCCAACACAGACAAAAAATAAATAAATAAATTTATTAAAAAAAAACAAAAAAACCTGGTTATAGGATGTACCTCTCTCACATTCCTACTGATAACTGGCTTTCTCATCCCCATTGCCTTGATGGCAGTATTTTGAACCAATAACTTGTTTCTCCAGGCCAGATGGGGATCCTACCCAAGGGCAAATAATCCATAGGATGGATAATGATTTGTGTGATCAGGCTACAAAAAATAAAGTCTTTCTTCGATGATTTTGAAATAAGAAGCAAAGGAAGAATCTTGCAGAGTAGAGGCCAGATGACAAACTAACGGGGCTTCAGCAATGGCAAATTAGGTCAGTCAGGTTCCCATCAGATACCAGATGGAAAGCTCAAACTGAATAATTTGAAGAGAATTATTAAATTATTTACAGAGGTGCAGGTAAGAGTCGGGGAAACCAACAAGGGATAATGCAGTACCCCAAGGGCTAGCAGTTATTACACTTAGGCCTGAAGAGGCAAAGGGAAGGATTAGAGATTAACTGTACAGAGAAGGTTCTGCAGTCAACCCTTGGTGACCCATCCTGGGGAATAAGGACTATGACCCCACTATCTTCTGGCCTTGAATCTCCTGCCGATACTTCCCACTACCTGAATCCATTGAGATACCAAGCAGAACAAGGGATTATCATAGGTGTAATCTGGGTGGGTCAGCCCTCCCTGACACAGAGCAGGGAAGGGATGGAGAACAGACACGGAGGGGCAAACAGAAGATAGGTGAAGTTGTTTCCAAGAGGCAGTTACGTGGAAGCAGGAGTTAGTAATATGTGTTTTAAAAAGGGAGAACAAATAGCCAACTCCCTTCACTGACATTAGTGGCACTGCACTACAGTGAAGATACCCAAACACCTACTGTCCAGTTCTTTGCAGACCTTTTGAGTACACATTTACCCTCCAGTTCTTCTCTCCTTGGAAGCACAACCTATTGCCAAGAAAGTCCTGTGTTTCGTCAATAAAGCATCTTTATGATTTTTCACTTAAAAAAAAAAAACCAAAACAGCAACAAACAAAACCACCAACCATAATTAGGTAGCCCATATGAATCTAACTTCAGGAACCATTCCAAATACCCTTTTTCTCAACTGAATCCTCGTCTTTAATCCACGTGTATTTAAATAGATGGTAAAATAGAAAGTGTTCTCTGAGTCATGTGGAGTGTGAATTTGTTGCCAGGCTTTTGTAAAAGAGTCAAGCATTACCTGGTGAGACTCCAAAAGGCTGATTATAGCAGGAAGAGCACTTAGTTGGTAGTTAAAAACACAAGGCTTCACCAATAAGAGAGCTAGAAAAGATGGCGCCTCTCTGGGAATACACTTAGAGGTGGAAGCACAGTGGAAAACAAGAAATGCTTTATTGTTTATAGTTGTAATGTGCGAATAGTTTATTAGCCCTAGGAAAATAAGGAATTTATGCCTAGTACAACTTTTGAGTAAACAAAAAGAAAGTATCTCGAGATTAATGTGATTGAAGCAAGACTCATGGGAGGGGAGTCCTGTACACATTTGGCAGTCCTTAAAGGAAGCCAGGAGGGACCCATTGCCAAGTCCATACAAATGTCAGGTACAGATATTTTCAGGGGGTTGGGGGGGGGGACGGTCCCTCAGGGAAAATTTTTTTCACCTAGGTAAACCCATTTTCGGCGACCTAGCACGGGAACAGAAACATTATTAACTCATAAATACACGCACATGAAACCAATATCACTCATTTGACTGCCAAGTAGAAAGCTCTCATTGCATTTTAAAAATCAAAATATATTTGTACCTTTTTAACATATATCCATTCCAGGAAAAAGTATTTGGAGCATGGTTAATTTGTAAACAAGTGTTCTCTACAAATTCAAAAACATATGTGTATAAAGTGAACAACAAGGACCTACTGTATAGCACAGGGAAGTATATTCAGTATCTTGTAATAACCTATGATGGGAAAGAATCTGAAAAAGAATATATATATGTATAACTGAATCACATTATAAAAAAAAAAGACACACACACAAAAAACCTCATAAAATTGTTTAAAAAGCCGGCGAAGTATTAACAATCTGTTTTACTCCATACGACTTTAGAAATACTTCGGATCGTGGGTGGGAATAGGGGCGGGGAAGTGCACTAATCCTAGTGCCGGGGCAAAGGTTTCATAACTTTACCTACAGATTACACTGTTTTTATTTTGGACGCGGCTCAATATTACAGATGACCGCAGTGCCCCAAAGCGCCAGGGGAAACGTTTTCACGGGGAGAGGCGACAGACGCAGGGGACAAGGTGGCTCGGTGGTGGTACCCAGGCCCATTCGGAAGCCGCCCAGCGTCGGTGGCCAAGATTACCCACCTCGCCTGGAGTCAACTGCACTTCAGGGCCTGGGGCAAAGCGACCCCACCGCCCGCCCCGCGCCACGTGCGCAGCGCGCCCCGCCCCTCGCTCGCAGCCGGCGGAGCAAGGCGCGAGCCCGTCGCGAGTCGCAGAGGTTCGGTGCGCGCCCCGCCCCTGCGCCCGCAGAGGGGGCCGCCGTAGCCCGCGAGCCGGGGAATCGCCCAGTTCGCTCTCCTTCCCTCTCGGCTGGCCGCTGGGGCTGGGCCAGCCCTCAAGCAGGGCGGCACCCTGGCGGGGTCGTCAGTCAACCACCGCGGGCGGCGGCCCGGCTAGGGCAGGAGCCGGTGAGCGGCCACGTCACGCTCCTCCGGGAGGCCCCGCCCCTGCTCCATCCTTTGGGACCGCCCCCTCCACGCCCCCGCCTCCGCCTCTGACCCCACGAGCAGTTACTGGCTGTGGGAGCGCGAGCCTACCTGACTCTGCTAGAGGTACTACAGCTTCGTGTTGCGGCGTTTGTGCCGCAGCCCGCGCCAAGTGAGGGCTCCGGCCTCCAGCTTCGGCGCCCGGCGCGTGTTGGCAGGCTCGGGGCTCGCGCCGCTGACGCGGGTTGGGCCGGCGGGCGGTTAGCGCCCCGTTCGACGCCGGGAGCTCCGCGGCCTGAGCCGACGCGGGCGGCCGGGCTCTCGGGTTCTCTTCCCCAGGCCGGAGCCAGTCAGTGTCCCGGCGGAGAAACGGGCAGCCGGGCTCCCTGGCCCCGGGCCGCCCCCGGCTGGGGCGGCTGGGGCAGGGGGACGATGTCTGCTCGCGCCCGGGTGCCCGCCGCTCACCCTCGGGAGGAGCGGCCCGCGGTACCAGCTGAGAGGGAGTTGCTGTCGGCCGCGGCGAGCCGACAAGCCGGGAAGCTGCCCCCGCCCGAACGGGAGGGCAAGGAAGCGGCGAGGGAGGAGAGGAACGCGCTCGCCACCCGCACGGGGGCGCGGGGAGAGCCTTTGCCGGCGCCCGTGCTGGGACACAGCGTGCCTCAGGCGGCCGTGTCCGTGAAGCCCCTGGCGCTGCACCTGGCGCACAAGGCGCGCGGGCCGGGGGGGCCCTTCGGCTGGGAGCCGCCGCCACCGCTGCCTCGGGACCCGCCGGCCGAGGACGCCCGGGAGGAGGAGGCGGCGGCGGCAGGCTCTGAGGAAAAGCTGCCGCCGTCGCCGTCGCCGTCGCCGCTGCCGCCGAAGGAGAATCCCTGGACCAAAAAGCCTCCCCAGCACCTGTCCCCCGCCGGGACGGGGCCGCCGCCGCTGCCTCTACTGGAAACCCTGGAGGCAGGTCTGTGGCTCCTCTGCGGTGGGCACCGGGAGGGTGTGTGCAGGGGCGACTCGCGTGGCGGCAGATGCTGGCGGGGGGCTGGGGGAGGGGCAGGCCTCCGTTCCCTGTCAGTCGGAGGTGTTTCGTTCCAAGGTGTCATTCACTCTGCCTGTTTACATAAATGGACATCTGGGAAGGGAGCAGCAGGAAGAGGTGGGACCTCGGGTTCTCCTTGGCTGGTGGGGCATGGCGGGGGTCACGGAGCTGAGCCGCTCGGCGGGCACAGCCTCAGTTATGTCTTACCCCACGTGTTAGTGACATGGGACAGCTGACTTTAGGTAGGTGTTGCAGTTCATTCTATAGAAAAGTTTCTGTAGACTTTTTAAAAAGAAGTGAAGCCAGTCGGAGCAAGGGGGTTTATATGTTAAGTGGAAGAGCAATTGTGAATTTTTTATTGTGAAATAATTGGTAAGCTGAAAATTTCAGTGTTTTCAAAACCGTGCTAAGTAGTCATATTAAAAATGAGATGCTATACTGTAGTTGCTACTCACAAGCTTTGAGTTTACGACTGTGGTGGAAACTGGTTGAAATGAAATAGGATAGTTGACGAGTGAATTGCACATTAGGTGAACAGTAGTCTTCTGACATTCAGTTAGCTCACCTCTCTAGGGGAGGTAAGATTATGCCACTGCATTTGAATGCTGACCAATGCAGTATGGCCCTTGGTGCTTTATTTTGGTTATAGCAACTGCAGGTTGTTTTTTTTTTTTTAGTTTAAGTGGAAATACTAAATAAACCGAAGACAGAAACCAGTATCTCCTAGTTTTGCTTTCTAATTAAGTTGTTGTAAATTAATTGAACTTTTCATATAGAAATTACAGCTGTTTACGTACAAGTCTTCACTTTTCTTAAAAATTAAAGGTTAACAGTGGAACAGGGAAAATTCAAGCATGTTTACAGGGTTGTGAGGCTCAAAAGAGATAAAGGAAATTCGGTTAAATATAAGGTGATTGTTATAGAAACACGTATTGCAGGTATTGAAGTATAGTAACATTTCTTCCAAGGAACTCCAACAGAGTGAGATAAGTGGTAATTGATTTGCACAGTAATACTCAAATCATTTTTTATAATGCTGTGGTACAATATAACTTTATTTAAACAAAAGTTATTTTACAGCTGAGGTCTGATAAATGGTTTTTAAATCATCATTCTTGATAAATCTTAACACTTGCAGAAAAAGCTGCTTAAAATTTTGCTCTGAATTTAATACTGCCACCAGTCTCTCCTAGCTGCAAAGATCTATTTGTTTACTAGTATTAATAACTGAAGAGAACAAAAATCTTAAAGGAAAATCTCTATAAAATTTAGCAAAGAGGGCTTCCCTGGTGGCGCAATGGTTGAGAGTCTGCCTGCCGATGCAGGGGACCACTGGGGTCCTTAATCTTTGTTGGAGATTAAGAACCAGATGATTCTTGATGTATGGTGTGGTTCATGGGGTTTTTAATTTTGCTGATGTTTCTCTGTAGGCAACATTTCTGTTCTTGGAATCTATTCTGTGCCCTCAGGAATACGGTTCTTCATATGTGGAGTGCTAGAGTAACTTTATAGCCTCTCTGCAGTACTGACTCTATACTTCTACACAACTTCTATTAGTAATTGAATAACTTAGGTAACTTTGATAAGAGATTGCTGGGTAGAAATGCACAACTTGGGTTCTAGTCCAGATAGCGTTACTACCTAGCTAGTTGACTTGTGTGAAGATTTCTAGGCCTTGTAAATGAATGAAGTTGGGTATATTTTCTTTCATTTCTTAATACTAGATTGCCTTCTATAACCTGGGTCTGCCGGCTTCCTATTTTCCTAAGCAAATTTGCAACCTCAAGAATAATGAAATAGGAGCAGAGGACCTTTAGGGTCCAGAGACCAGAGTAGGTGCAAACTAGGGGAGTGTTAAATTAGTACAATAATCTTACTAGTAGGAGGCCTATGTGATTTATCCTATAAACCAGGATATTCATGAGAGGGAAAGAGGATATTAATTATGCTGTAATAACAGAATTAAACTATGTTTGTCCTAACCAAACCTGGATTTACTGTCACTCACTCAATGAGGTACAGGAATTCCATCCATAAAATTTCACCAGAAATTTTATTACCAGAGATAGAAACATAGGAAATGTAGGGAAGTATTTAAGGACTTGTAATCATGAATTTTCTGTTAGAGCCTGCAGTTCTAACTGAACTGCAGGTGAGGCATTCTTCAGACCTTGTGACACACTTTCCTCCACTTTTGGGATGATTCTGGCTTGTGTATTGCTGTTTCTGGTAATCCAGATAAGGTCCTCTTTTCAACCAAAGCCTGGCCCACAGGAGAGGCCTAGAATAGTGTCACTGCAGTTTTAAATTCCTGTCAGGAGACTGGAAAGAATTGTCCCCCAACCCTTGTTTAAAGTAGTTGTATTTATTTTGGAGACCTTTATTAAAATCACAGTATGGGATTTATGAATCACTTACCTGTACCCATGGTTACATTTTGCATATTAAAAATCAGCTTTCCAATACAGTTTTAATTCTTTTACACACAAAAACGATGTATAAAAATATTGATTTTGGGAGTTCCCTGGAGGCTTAGTGGTTAGGATTTGGTGCTTTCACTGCAGAGGCCCAGGTTCGATCCCTGGTCAGGGAACCATCCCGCATGCTGCGAGTTGCAGCCAAAATACAAAAAATAAAAATAAAATGATTTTTTTTCATCTTTTTCATCCTTAGTCTTCTTGACCCCATCAACCTTCTTTTCTCCAAGTGTGCTTCCCAGAAGCCTCAAATAAGCTTACTGTAACTCTAATAACATTTTAATTGTTATGTAAATGATACATAAATATGTTCTTGTAAAAAAGGAACTTTTGATGTTCCCTTCAGAAAAAAGATAGTCATGTTACCAGTTTACTGAATATCCTTTCAGTCCTTTCTGTGAAATTACTTCCGAATATAGTGTTTTGTATATGTGTTTAGAATATTTTTAAAGTTTTGGTAGATCTTTTATTTTTCTTCTTTACAACTAGTGAGTTTTTTATTCTTTAAATTAAGGTATAATTAACATTAGTTTCAGGTGTGCAACATAATGATTTGAGATTTGTGTATACATATTGCGAAATGATCACCGTAAGTTTAGTTAACTACCACCTACATACTTAGTTATAAAATAATTTTTTTTCTTGTGATGAAGTTGATCCTTTTTAATCTAAACTTTAAAAAATTGCTGAGAAGTGGTCCATAAATATAACTGATGTAGTTAATTTAGCCATTTACGTATTGATCAACATCTTGGTTGTTAGAAACATTTTTATGCATGCCTTTTATCCTAGAGAAAATACATATATGATTTTCTGTAGGAGAGAAAAGTGGAATTGTTAGGTCACAGCGCATTTGTTGACAAGTTGCTCTCGAAAATGACTACTAATTGATACTCGCACTTTCAGAGTACGAGAAGTAAGTAGGTTTTTTTACATGTTCTTTAAAAATTTTGTTTTATTTATTCTTTATACAGCAGGTTTTTATTAGTTATCTGTTTTACACATATTAGTGTGTATATGTCAATCCCAATCTCCCAATTCATCACACCACCACCCCCCAACCCCCTGCCACTTTCGCCCCTTGGTGTCCATACGTTTGTTCTCTACATCTGTGTCTCTATTTCTGCCCTGCAAACTGGTTTGTCTGTACCATTCCTCTAGGTTCCACATATATGCGTTAATATACGATATTTGTTTTTCTGACTTATTTCACTCTGTATGACAGTCTCTAGATCCATTCATGTCTCTACAAATGACCCAGTTTCGTTCCTTTTCATGGCTGAGTAATAATCCTTTGTATATATGTACCACATCTTCTTTATCCATTCGTCTGTCGATGGGTGTTTAGGTTGCTTCCATGACCTGGCTATTGTAAGTAGTGCTGCATTGAACATTGGGGTGCATGTGTGTTGTTGAATTATGGTTGCCTCTGGGTATGTGCCCGGTTGAGGGATTGCTGGGTCATACGGTAGCTCTATTTTTAGTTTTTTAAGGAACCTCCATACTGTTCTCCATTGTGGCTGTATCAATTTACATTCCCACCAACAGTGCAAGAGTGTTAGCTTTTCTCCATACCCTCTCCAGCATTTGTTGTTTGTAGATTTTCTGATGATGCCCATTCTAACTGGGGTGAGGTGATACCTCATGGTAGTTTTGATTTGCATTTCTCTAATAATTAGTGATGTTGAGCACCTTTTCATGTGCTTCTTGGCCATCTGTATGTCTTCTGTGGAGAAATGTCTATTTAGGTCTTCTGCCCATTTTTGGATTGGGTTGTTCTTTTAATATTGAGCCGCATGAGCTGTTTATATATTTTGGAGATTAATCCTTTGTCTGTTTGTATGTTGATTCGTTTGCAAATATTTTCTCCCATTCTGACGGTTGTCTTTTTGTCTTGCTTGTAGTTTCCTTTGCTTTGCAAAAGCTTTTAAGTTTCATTAGGTCCCATTTCTTTATTTTTGTTTTTATTTCCATTACTCTAGGAGGTGGATCAAAAAAGATCTTGCTGTGATTTATGTCAGAGAGTGTTCTTCTTATGTTTTCCTCTAAGAGTTTTATAGTGCCCGGTCTTAACATTTAGGTCTCTAATCCCTTTTGAGTTTATTTTTGTTGATGGTGTTAAGGAGTGTTCTAATTTCATTCTTTTACATGTAGCTGTACAGTTTTCCCAGCACCACTTATTGAAAAGACTGTCTTTTCTCCATTGTATATACTTGCCTCCTTTGTCATAGATTAGTTGACCATAGGTGTGTGGGTTTATCTCTGGGCTTTCTATCCTGTTCCATTGATCTATATTTCTGTTTTTGTGCCAGTACCATATTGTATTGATTACTGTAGCTTTGTAGTACAGTCTGAAGTCAGGGAGTCTGATTCCTCCAGCTCCGTTTTTTTCCCTCAAGATTGCTTTGGCTATTCGGGGTCTTTTGTGTCTCCATACAAATTTTAAGG